TGGGGTTTCAGCTCGTGTATCTTAGAGAAAATGTCACGGAAAAATATTTTGAAATATTTCTCGAATTCAACAATTTGATATACTTCCTTTTGATAGAAATGTCAGGGAAGCCCTTATGCTTTTAACACAAGTATGGTACTGCATGTTCTGTCGTCATTTAAAGGGATAAAAACTCTGTATGAGATCTTTATTTCACAGTAAATGCATTGTAAACAACTCATAGAAATATGAAATATTCTATTTTACCACAAAACGGCAGTTATAGCAATAAATCTGCAATCTGTGCTTGTCATCAGACCAAGTGACCCCCATAGATGGCTATGCTCTGTAATAATCTCTTAAGAGATAATCTCTTATGAGATTATTACAAAAAACAAACTCTTAAAAAAGGTACTTACTTTGAATGTAGAAATGGATTCATTAACCATTGGTAAGTACGGGAAATTCATTTTTGGCCAAAGTGAACAGTTGTTATCCCTTTAAATTGTAATGACCTTGAATATTGCAAGCCTGAGCCCTCGCTTTGTGCAAGCACATGTAAGTATGGTTGCACTCCATGTCTTTTTTTTGTGAACAAACAATTCATAATTTCAGATAAACACGAAAAACATTATTTTCGTTTCAGGATTTCACCGTGAATCTTTACCTTCGGCAGATGTGGAATGACCCTCGCCTTCAACTGAACACGAGCAATCTCTCGGACAATGTTCACCGGTCCGGGATCACGCTCTCTGATAAAGCAATAGGAGACGTGTGGGTGCCGGATCTGTTCTTCTCGAACGAAAAGCAATCCTGGAGGCATGACATCACCACCCCGAATATATTGCTGAGGGTCACAGAGGAGGGTAATATTCTCTATTCTCAAAGGTCAGTGGTGTGGTCAGTGTGTGGTCAGGGCATGTGGTCAGTGTGTGGTCAGTGTGATTTTTGAAGGATGTTATTTGTATTATTGTGATGGTGTAGGCCTATTCGTATTTTTTGACATTTGCTTCAGATTGAGATGGTTTAAATAACAGACTTGACATTTAATATGGAATGTTTCAGTTTCGAAGGATTAAAATTAGTTGCAATTCCAATTTGTAGAAAGGCACAATTCTAAAGGAAGCCTTATCTGTGCTGTAAACGAGGTTGACATTTATTATAGTTTATCATGGTTTTTGGAAGCATTTAGCCTTGTTGACACATATGCTATAGATACAATGATGATAGCAGCAATGATGGTGAAGTTTATGATATATGGGAAACAGAAACCGAAAAGCATTTATGAATTCATTCCGGTTTTGTAAAGTGGCAGTCTTTTCATTTTTCTACGTCATATTTTTATTTGTTGAAAACATGGGAAAACTTTTATAACTTATATCAACATTGGAATTCTTTATGACCATTTACAAAAGCCCGAATTCATGGGGGCTATCTGATATCAGTGCACAATTCATGAGCTTTATTTCTGAACTACATTGCAGGCTGTCCGTAAGGCTGGACTGTCTATATGACTTCACAAACTTCCCCATGGATATCCAGACATGCCGTATTGAGATGCACAGCTGTGAGTATCCGATCCATGAAGTGCATTACTGGATTCACGCAATGTTAGTTGCTCTAAATGACACACTTTCTCTTTTGCAAAACAGGATACTTAACGTTTCTGGCATTAGAACATTAATTGTAAGCATCCACTTACTGTGTATTTGTATGATTTAAGTTAAACACGCCGTGTCTGTGGTAAATGCAATTGCAGCCATTTGGCTGTGTTACACCTGATGTCATTAGCAGACATTCATCGAAAAAGTAATGGAAACGCTGAAGCTGAATGAAATGTCAGCCATCTCATTTGGGTTAAATATTGAGTGATTAAGACCTTCAGGGAAAATAATTTGCAATGAACGTGGGCTTTGAGGAAAGATTTTAGGATATACGTAACGACTGAGTTTGATGTAATGATGATCATAGAAAAAGTGTAATTAGAAGATTGCATGAAAGGAAACTAGCAAATGTGTCTCTACATCTCATCATGTCTATCGAGTGTGAAATTGAAATTGCCACATTTTGTGTTGCTTTTTCATTTAGATATGACTCACTTTATTACTATTTTGCAATACCTACACATCTCTATCACCTGAGGCGTGAAACAATAACGTTTCTTAATGTGCCTTTATTGACAAAATGTTTTGATGCAGTTATTTATTTTTATTACTGAAACACTTATTTCATTATATTTGTCTCATGTGTACAATTCTTCATCAGCGCTTCCGACTAGTTTTGCTTATACAAGGCTTCTGGCGGATGTGAAGCTGCAATAAATATTTATGACCTCTTTGACTCTGTTATCACTTTCAGATGCTTACACAACTGATGATATAATCTTTGTCTGGAGCGATCATCCACTGCAGTTCAAGGATGACATTCATGTAAACATTCCAGAATTCACATTGGACAATGTGACAGCCAAGAACTGCACGACAAGAACAATAACAGGTACTTAGGAAATGACAGGGAATTTTTGAACACAGAAACTAGTTGTTAAAGCGTAAAGAGCTTATCTACAGGAGCTCATATACTAGTGTGTTTTACATGCTTGCGTTTACATGTGCTACAAAGTTACTTATTTAGTATTATACATAAATTGCTTAACTTGTTTCTTAAATCAAACTTCCTCTGTATCTTTGCAGTTTCACTTTCCTATGTACGTAGTGGTGTATTTTATTGTACTGCACTAATAACGTTTGTATTAAAATGCCTTCTTGAGTCTTTCATAAAAATGGTTTAAACCGCCAGTCTGTCTCTTCTTTTCTCTCTTTTTATCTCTATTGATTATATACTAGCCAGAGAAGATTTACAATAGTTCAGAGAAAAAATTGCATGTCCCACGTGAAATTCAGATTCTTCTCACTCTCACTCTTCTGCTAAAGGGGCGCTTGTTTGGGACGACATTTAGTGAACCACAATGGAACGGTAGCAAGGGAGAATGCTCAAAACAACGTTTTCGAATGAAAAACGTGTAATTTTATTTCCTTTCTTTCTTGAAATGAGAAGTGCTGATAATAATCCCATCATATGAAAAAAATGTGGTAAATCAATGATTAATCTGCAGTTCGGTTTTCTTTAAGATATCACTTGTAAGACAGATGATTATCAAATAATGGATTTCGGTGAAAAAGATAAGATGTTCCCATGACAACGTCCATGTTTGTCTGGTCAACGAAGATGAATGTGGATATCCGTGCAAGGTCCATTTACAGCATGTCTGGATATGTTTTTTATAAATATGACGTGGAAATTCTTTCCGAGAACCGTTCAATCGTTTTTTTTTATTTTATTTTTTTTTTTTAATTTTAAGACATCGTTTTAGATATTAAATGCGAGAGGAATGCCAGTAGTATATGAACTGTTAACGAATGTTTACCTTTACCGAGTGTTAAATAGTAATATCAACAACCCGAACCACATCGATGATCCTTTCGTTCATGTCCATTCTTTTCTTTCAGGCGCCTACACCTGCATATACGCCGAATTTCGGTTAAAACGGGACATTCGGTTTTACCTCTTGAACATCTACGCACCAACCATAGTTGTCGTCATCCTCTCCTTCGTCAATTTCTTCATCGACCCCGTGGCAGTTCCAGCCCGAGTGTCCATTGGCTTAATCACCGTCCTAACCATCACTACCCAGAGCGTCAGCCTCCAGGAGCGTCTTCCCAGGGTGTCTTATATCAAAGCAGTTGACGTGTGGTTGGCGATGTGCCTGCTGTTTGTCTTTGGTTCCGTTTTGGAGTATGCGTTTGTTAATGTTCTGCTGCAAAAGGAACGAAAAAGAAGGCGGCAAGAAGCAGAACAGTTGATTGGTGAAAGTAAAAGGAATACCAATACTTCTGTATGTAATACAGACGTTGTTTCTCTTTTTTCTAAATGCTTTTTTTTTCGATTTTACTTGGTAATTTTCATACAGGTTACTAGAACGCATGAGTTACCCCAATAAGCAACCTTGAGAATGCTATTTTTGGGATTAAATAAGCTTTTTCAATCTTGGTGCACTTCTAATACCTCTCTTTCTATATCATGGATTCAAAAACGAAGGCAACACAGTAAAAGAAAATTACCTACATATCAAACCAATTATGAATCCTTTGTCTTCGAAAAACAGATACCTTTTAAGTTAATTTGAGAGCCGAAACCTTTAAAATATTTCCTATGCCTTTTTCAGTTTCTTGGATCGATTGATTCAGTGGACCAGGTTGACGGTAGCGTCAGCTCCGTGGACGTACAGATTGAGAACCACGTGATCAGCACAAAGGTCAAACATCTGGCATGGGATGCCAACAAGGTGGACAGGGCATCAAAATACGTCTTTTTCGTTGGTTTTGTGGTTTTTAATATCGGATATTGGTTCCTTTATTTGTTGCTTTTGGCAAATTAGTGAAATGATAGGCGCCCTTCTATTTCAGTTGGGACAGATTAATTTAGTACACGTATATAATATCTAAGCAACCCATCAGCGGAGCCGCAGTAGACTTTGAAGTTAAAGCTAACATGGCGAAGGACCTGGTAACAGACTGATGCCATAGGCTCCCTGTGGTAAAAAA